TAACACACGCTATAAATCACTGTGATTCACACACTTTACTTATGGTGCCTACTGTTCGCTTGACTCAATTATCTTTATCATCAATCTATCTGCCCGATCGCGCTAGTTTTACTCACCGGCTTATATACTAAAAAAGAGGGCGCCTCGAACAAACTAGAGTTGCCGGGAAAATTTATGATCCTTCTAGAAACTCCAGGGTGCATGCTCCCATCGTCGCGTGACTTCCCTGTCGTAACAATATTAATTATCTGTTTGTTTGGACAAATTAAATATAAGTAATAAAACTTACAAGTAAACTATTCATATTTTTTGATTTTATGTCTTTTGTGTTTATTTGGTTTTCATTGTATTTTTCTCACTAAGAAGTGTGACAAATCAATAATTGGAATATGCCTTAGAAATAGTATTTGTTCATAATTTCGGCAAATAAGTCCTAATAATAAAAAATAATAATTTAATATATTTTATGAAAATTCTTAGTCATTAGTATTATGTGATTTTGTGGAGTAAGTGATTTTAGGCTAATATAAACTATATTGATTACTATAAAATCACACTTTTTATCGTAATGTTAACTGGAGCTAAGAATCAGGTCACATCCACCAATAACATTATCATCTGACACAAATGAAAACTATTGCTTCTGCCCGAAATTTCTCCTTTCGTCATAGGTCCACTACCCTCTGTATTAAAAATCATTCTTAAAGCATTACGAAAGAAATGAAAGTATGTCAGATGGATCATTCGTCCATCACTTCAAGAAGTAGAATAATTATTTTGTTTATTCATTATAATAATTTATATTTATATTGACAAGTAAGCCGGAACTTTCACTCTGTAATAATTACGTTCATTATACAGTGAAAACGCGTTCATATAAACGGAGATTAATTCTGTGACAGAAGGCGCTGTGTCACTGTTGGACGGCGGTCACATGGCGTGAATCGTTCACAATTATGGGATTTCGAGCAGAAATGAAGCAATTGGATATTTTCGATTGAATTTCACAATTGCTTCAGTATTTTTAGCGTTTTAAAAGAGTTTAAGAAAGAAGTTATAACGATTTTCTAAGTTTTCTGAGTGAGCATATACATGAAGAAATAATAAAAGATGCTTGTGTTACAAAATACGGTTGTTACGACAGCGGAAGTCACGTGAGGACGGTAATACGTCATGAGTTTCTAGAAGGATCATGACTTTTCTTGGCAACTCTAGTCTTTTCCAGGCACCCTCTATTTTAATATATAAGCCCGTCAAATAAAGCGGAGAT